GGTCTTCAAAACCCTTTAACTTAATAGAAACATGTCTTATGCCATTTTTCGTTTGATGCTTGATGCCTATATCATCCATTCTCAATTTTTTTTGACCAGCCTACCTTAGTTGTATCTTTTTTAGGTGGGCTATATATATATATATATATATATATATATATATATATATTACGGTCCGTTTTAGTATTAAATAGTATATTTATTTATTATTTATAAGCGAAATGTTTTTGGGAATCCAAAAATTTTGAAGATGGAACAGAGCTTATTTTAACTCAATTTAATTTAAATAATTATATTGAAATATTTTCTTGTTTTTTTTTAACATGAGACTTCTTATGTAACGTTTGGAATCATATTTTTAAATAAATAATTATATATATATATTATAAAATTTTATGTTATAAAAAAAAATTTATAACATAAATATGTTATAAAATCACTACAAAAATAGCCATTTTGTTTCAACAACCTCGATGTCTTATCAAGTGATAATGTTGAATATAAAATAAATGGTTTTAAAAGTTTCAAATTAATTAACGATCCTTCGTAAGGGGAAAACGTTGTTACAAAAGCTAGAATGACCAATCAAAACCCAAGTATAGGAAGATTTAAAAGCTTGACAACGAAATCATGTTATAAGAGCTATTCAGATCTTTACAATACGGGTAATATTAAAAAAGAATTTATTCTAACCAATAATTATTAAATTATATGATAAAATTTGATATTAAAATTCAACATCATCACTTGATAAGACACCGAGAGAGTTGAAACAAAATAGCTATTTTTGTAGTGATTTTATAACATATTTATGTTATAAAATTTTTTTTTAAATAATTATATCTGCTCTACTTTGTATTGAGCACTCTTTTAAGAATAGTAATTGTTGGTTATTTGAATTCATTCCGTATACACCAATTATATACTTGTATATATATATATATATATATATATATATATATATTTGACATTCGTTGTATCAAGATACACAACCTAACCGACTTTCTATCGCTTTTGATTTTATTCATATTTTTATCGCTATTGTTTTTAAAATAAACATTTTTAATTATATCCGTAATAACATAATAAGTTTGAATTTCCTTCTACGGACAAAGCGCCTTCCATGGCAGTTTTGTTTTTTGTTTTGTTTTCTCGTTTTCTCATTTGATTACCGAGGTTGATATATAGGTTTATATATCATGTCTTCATATATAGGCCTTTTACTTTTACTACATTTGACTGAAAGCTGAGTAAACTTTGAAAACATTTTTCAGATTCCCCTACTTCTTTTATACGCCATGTCCATTCAGGACATATGAGATCATAGCCCTCCACATCTTCCTCTCCCTTGTAGCTCTTAATAAGGTTTGGCTTTTTGGTATTTCTCCCAAACCCTGTTCTGCCAACCATTTACTCAAACTCATCAAGTATGTTACGCGCTGATTTCCTCTCTCTCCTCTTTCCTTCAATCTGTCCCGTGAGTATCATATTTTCCATACCCACTTTCCTCATTATGTGCCCTAGATATTTCGACTGCCTCTTTCTAATGTGAAATATAAGTTTTGTTTCCATTTTCTCTAAAACTTAGTCGTTGCTCACATGTTCGGTCCATGATATTCTCAGCATCTTACTGTAGAACCACATTTCTGTTGTTACAAGTCTCTTCCTCATTTCTGCGGAGATTATCCATCATTCGCTGCTGTACAGGAGGACAGATGTCACATAACAGTTTGATACTCTTTTCTTTATTTCTAATGAAATTTTTCTGTCTCTTAATATTCTGCTTAGTTTTTGCAATGCATCTTTGGCCATCCCAGTACGTGTCTGGATCTCAGTGTCGCATTTTCCGTCCTTTGTTGAAAATTTCCCAGATACTTAAATTTGTATACTTGTTTGATTTAATATCCCCGATTTGTAATTTGCATTTTGGGCCAGTCCTTTCGCTGATAGGCATGCATTCTGTCTTTTTGTAGTTTATACTAAGTCCTTTCTTCTCGCTTTCCTTCGCTACATTCTGTCTGATATCAACACTGTGTCATCTGCATTACGCAAAAATCGGTTCTGTTAATTTTTGCCTCAGTCATATATATATATATATATATATAAAGAGAGAAAGAGGGAGAAATTATGCTAAAAGTTTGACGCTCCCTTTGAATTTCTGAATGCTCCGCCTAAAAAATGAAGATAGCGCATAAAATCTCTTTAAAGTTTTACCACTATTTAAATGAGAACTTTGACGTGACAATGGGCAGTTATGATAGTGCAGAATATGCGAAATTACAGGCATATATGTCTTAAATACTTTATTAACTACTCTTAAGAGGATATAGGTTTATTTAGAATAAAATAATAAAGACGTAAACAAACGCAAATATTTATGAAAATGCGCGTGTAAAAGAACGTTAAATTTATGAATACCCATCTGTACAAAAAGAAGTAATAAACTATTATAAACTTTTATAAGTTCTTCCACTCTTTCACCGTTTTTGTTTTCTCTTTCAGATACCATCGTAATGGCAGTACACTACAAAAAAATTGGTGAACCTTTCTATTTCCTTCATCATGCCTCTGCAGCTTATGCATTTTTTTATGTATCGGTGAGTCTACTTTATTTTCCTTGCACATTCTTACCTCTAAGCAAACAGAAGGGCATCAGCTGTAGAGCGGATGTTACACAAACAATGAGTTAATAATGTGTCATTGTTCATGAGTATTATTGCAATACTTTAAAACTGTCATCTGATATAAGTGTCGAAAGTGAAACCTCAGCCTTTCCAGCTCCAAATAAATAATCGGCTGTTCTCGTTCTAAATTATAAAGACGATTTATTATTGTTTAAGAATAATGAGAGTGACCCTTATTAGGTAAGACCCGGGATAAGCTAAGCTAAGCTTATTAAATAAATAATTCTCTCTCTCTCTCTCTCTCTCTCTCTCTCTCTCTCTCTCTCTCTCTCTCTCTCTCTCTGACTCTGTGACAGAGAGAGGATGGATAGAGTGAAAAGTTCTCAGCTCTGTCCATTTCTAAAAATGTAACTTAAAGCCCAAATAATTTTTTATTTCAGTTCCTTCTTTGTCAATCCGAAAACTTTTCAGCACTTACACACACACACACACACACACACGCACACACACACTATATTGGTGAAACTTACAAAACTTTTAAAAACTTATCAATGTACACAAAAAGTATCTTATGCACAACACTTTATCAAATGCATGAGTCATACATACAAAATAAATTCAATCTCAACTGCGATCTAAAGAACGTCACACTTATTAAAAGATAAAGTAATAATGATACTCGTGAACAATGAAATATTAAAGCCACATTGTTTATGTAACTTGGGAAATTCTTGAGAGAGTCGATATCGAAACTTACGAAAATATAAATTTGCACCCCGGATTTTTTTTAATTATCTCTCTTCCTTTCCCAAGCCAATATAAATGTTGAAAAATTAAAATAAACGGTTACATTCAAAATCTTCTCTTATTTAAAATATATAATACACAAATTAATTTCTCAAACTAAAATAATAATTACATTATAAAAAATTCAACAACATTTACTCACTTTTGTTTATTAGGCATTAAATTATGTCACTTAGCATCTTCCATAATTTATCTTGACTTTCAGTAAGTCCTATGTATAATTATGAAATTTTGAAAAACTAACAATATTTTTACTTTTGTTTATCAATGTAAGATATGTATATTTCTTAATATATTAAATAACTCCGTTATTTAACATTAGGTACTATTTTTCTACTCTCTCTCTCTCTCTCTCTCTCTATATATATATATATATATATATATATATATATATATATATATATACATATGTGTGTGTGTGTGAATTTGTATACGAACGCTCGCACATTTAACTATATTTATCCATTTCGTTATATATAACGTTTTTACAAATCATATATATATATATATATATATATATATATATATTTATTCAAAATTATAACATATGCATGTTATAACATCACTTCAACACTTCTGGAGTTGATTGCCTATCAATCAACACCATCTCTTGATAAGACACCAGAAGTGTTGAAACAAAATGGCTATTTTTGTAATGATGTTATAATATGTTTATGTTATAATTTTTGAATAAATATTATTTGCTCTACTTTGTATTGAACAATCTTTTAAGAATAGTGTTTTGGGTTATCGCAATTTTATTCCATCTGTACCAAACCTATATATATATATATATATATATATATATATATATATATATATATATATATATAACAAAATGGATAAATATAGTTAAATGTTCGAGCGAGCGTTCGTATACAATACACACACATGCACACATACATATAGTGTAAGAAAAAACAGTGCTCAATGTATATATGTATTATGAAATGGACTAAGTCCGACAATTATTTTAATATATTTTCTGTTTACACGCTATTATTATAGATACAAATATTTAAATAAATGCTCTGTTTATAATAAACAGTATTAACAACATTTATCGGTCCGAATGTCCGAGAAATATCGTAGAAAATATGTGGCCTCCACAGTTTATTTAAATAATTTGTATCTATAAAAATAACGTAAAAAGAGAATATATATATGTGTGCGTGTGTGTATGTGTGTCTATGTACGTGTTATATGAATGATTGTTGCCTGTAGACAGAGATGACGTGAGAATCTTCCGGTGTCTCACATAAAACAGCGCAGATTCTCACGGAAAATGCTTTTGAGATTGAAACGAGGCGAATCACAGCCGCTTGCAATTCGTGTAATTCATTCACTTTCCTCAAATGTTTCTTGCCGCCTCGATTGTGAAGCACCGGCCTGTATTGCTAACCGACTTTCTCTACTAAGGACGCACGGTCGATTTTATGAGAAAATTATTCTATTTAATTTGTCTTTGTCTGATTAAAGTGTATCAGAGGGGAGGTAATGCGGGGTAGGAAAGGGCAGAGAAGGTATAAAAATAGCATCGAGGGAAGACATTGTATCTTCGATGGGGAAGACGTACCTTCCACGAAAATTATCATCAGAATAATGAATTATCTGGGAATGAAACAATGAAAGTTAGACCTCTCTCTCTCTCTCTCTCTCTCTCTCTCTCTCTGACTCTGTCTGTCTTTGACTGTCTGTATTATATATATATATATATATATATATACAAGTGAAATAACCACGACATTTGACCCATACGCACACAAGGAAAAGTCAACCTAACACCAATAATAAGAACCTCCCAAACATTACATAAATTAATTACATCAAATTTAGTATAAAGATAACAAAAAATGAGGAAAACAGCAGTCAGTTGTTGAAGTCTGCTGACGAGTGGTCAGAACGATTACAAAAACTGTTCATCTCCGAAAGTCTATAGTCGAGTTGCTGAATATGACATCAATCAGCTAAGTGAAAAATTTTATTTGTATTAATCCATATATATATATATATATATATATATATATATATATATATATATATGACAAATGGAAAACGTTTCATTGAAACCAGATTTGATTACGCATTTCATCAGATTCAAAACCACATAGTGTTGACAAGGAAATCATATGAACAGACCTAAAAACATAAATCTTTTATTTTCAAATGATTCTGAAAGATTGGATGAGGATTTGGCTTTGATTTGTTTCCGAAAAGTCGATATATGAATTTCTTGCTTTCGAGTCATTATGAAAATGAGATGAGGATTTACCTTTAATTCGATACAAAAAATCTGGGAGAGATATATAAATAACTTTAGACGTGAAATAATCATTAAAAGGAAAACATAAATTAACAGCATTTTTAAAAGTCACTCATTTTCTTTCTTTAATCACGCGAAACACCAGCTTAGGGATAAAGGACTATGATTTATTATTTAAGCATATACACACATTTCTTTCTTTTGGGAACTTTGTCGGAAAATGTGTCCCTTTGCTGAACCCCTTGAGCTTGGGGGAAAAAGTAAAAAAATAAAATCAAACGGAAACAGGTCGGGTGAGTAGGGTGAGTTACTCAACCACGGTGGTGATGTTCATCAAGTTGACCCGTTTTCTGGACGTGGTAGCCATCAGGAGGGACTTGACATCTGAGCTGTGGAGTATCCCAGGAATGCATGGGAAAGTGAGTTAGACTCGAAAGGTGGTAATTTCGAAGAGGAAAACTTGTAGTTTGGATTTGACATATTTTTTGTGACATCAGTCCTGTTTCTTTGCTGACACACTTCGTATATATATATATATATATATATATATATATATATGTATTCATATACTTTTGTATATGTGCTTGGTGTAGAGTTTCTTGTAATCTGGGCGTAAAATATTACCCTGTAAAACTTAGCGTTAATTTTAAAAGTATTTGATGGAAATTAACTCTGAAAGGATTGAGAATGCTGTAGATTTTTACCTGTCATTTAAGAACTCCAAATATTGTATTTTTAAGGTATACAAAACGCACTATTTAGCAAGAAATTTACGTTGTATATGCGAAATTGGTGTGAATGTAGGCTACTTTTATCCACAACACTCACTCCAATAGGCTATAATTTTAGATGAGACGACTATTTGTTAACCTTGTTTTTTTTACTTCAGTGTATAACTAAAACGTTGGGGTGCAGTTTAAATTTTGATGAGAAAAAATAATCATGAAATTTGAAAATATGAATAACATTTCCAAAGAAAATTAACGGTAGAGTTTTCATTTAAAGGTATTTATGAAGAATGTTGCTATTTATTTTTTTAGAGAAGCCGATACTGACTGATGTAAAATCTCTTGAGAAAGGCAAAAGAGAAAGGAATTTAGCATCCAGTTTAAATAATTAAATCATTAAAACTTGGCTTAGATATGGAAGCTTGGTATTTCTACCTTTTTAAAAAAATAAATATTTTTTAAGCATAAAAATAATTAATAATTTCATCTGTTGAAATGGGACATGCCTTTCAGGGCGAATTGTAACCTTTGGCCTCTCCGGTTAAGAACTGCTGGATTAGACACTCACTTCCACCTTGCACGACAAACTCTCATTTCCCCTCTTTCTTTCTCTGTTCTCTCTGTTGTGGAGTGATTTCACAGTGGAGGCTTTTATTTGTACTAAGTCGTTCCTAAAATAGGTTCGACGTACAAAACGTTAGGAACTTGATATAATAGGTACAATACAGAGTAAATCTAGTTGTGGTCGCTGATAGTTTAGTATTCGACTAACTGTCGTCCGACATCGACTGACTGACCGACCCACTGAGTGACTCTCGTTACTCTTACTACTCCTACTTATTATAGGTGGGAGAGTCTATTAACTATAGAATAGGTGTGTTCCACTATAACAAAATGATAACAAAGATGGTTTACAACTAAAAATAAAAATTAACGACTAGTAAATTAATGGAGAATAAGGAGATTATGAGCAGCAGATTTTGTAAGTAAGGATGCTCAATTTTTTACAAAATGTAAAGAATTAAAAGTAAAATAGTAAATAATAAAGAACTTAGAATTATATATATATATATTTCCGCGTCAGACAGTTTTATAAGAGCCAAAAAAAAGCAAACATAAAAACGCCATGTAAATCCTCTTCTTCTCCCTCCAGCTATGGGTAAATAGCAGGACAGACAGGGTTCTATAGCCTTGAATGGCAACTAGGAGGACAACTCTGAATTCAAAACCTGCGGAGGGTCGTTTGGGGATTCTATGGCACGTAGTGCACAATGTCTCTGTATTCAGCCCTTCAAAAAGTGCGGATGGTCTTGCACGAAACCTTCACTACTATAATCAAATCTCATGTGCTGGCGACGGGCTGCCAGTTTCCTAGAAGCTGATCTGCTTGACCCTCATACGTCGAATTCTACATTTATTCTCAGAGATATATATATATATATATATATATATATATATATATATATATATATATATATTTTTTTATATATACAACGTTATTTCTTCCTACGATAAGCGTTCACATATAGTGGGTACACTGAAAAACAACCCATCTACTCAGATACGTGCAACCAATGAATATAATGTTTATACAAATTATATATATATATATATATATATATATATATATATATATATATATTATTTATTCAAAATTATAACATATGATGTTATGACATCACTACAACATGCATATGTTATAATTTTTTTGATAAATAATTTATACAATAATAATTTGTAGTGTGTGTGTGTGTGTGTGATAGATAATTGATTTATTTAAATATAAAATTTTTCGCTACACAGTTCTAACCATGTTTCAAAAATGCAAGCTAAAAGCTCCGAATTTAATTTTGTAATTAAATTAAAGACATTAGTTCCATTTCATCCTCATATTTAAATTTTGGAACAAATTGTGTGAAAAAAAACATATTTTAAATCAATCAATTTATAATATTAATGCTCTGTAAATTTACATTTGGGCACTATTTTGTAAAAATAAAAATATCTATAAGAACAATATAATTATATATCTCATTGTTCTTTCTTTTTATTTATATATACATACACACACACACACACACAAATATATATATATATATATATATATATATATATATATATATATATATATATTTTGTGATTTTGAAAGTAAATCCCCCATTTAAAATAATTATAATTTATTTATTTATTATAATTTTTAAAAAATGGTTATGAGATGAAAGGTTAGGATGAGGGGTTATCTAAAATTCCATATGGTCACCAGTTTTCGCTATCAGATTCTCGAGCCACCCAAGAATCCCGTCAACTGATTTAACCAGAAACTCTTGTGGTATGCCAGATATAACTTCTTGTATTCAACCTACAAATTCTTCCGAAGCCTTGTTTTGGTATAATAGACTTGCTCCTTTAACCAACTCTAAAGAAAAAAGTCACAAGGTGTTAAGTCAAGATTACTGGCTGACCACTCATATGTAAAATAGGGAGTTACTTTTCAATCACCCTGTATACTAATCAATTCCTGCTCCCAGGAAGACTATAAGGCCACTGAGATGCAATGGGTCTTCTATGAGTAAAAGCGAATAAAAAGTCTTTAGAAGGAGACTTTTCAATTTCCCTTTCTCTTAATACTTTGCTTAACTTTTAGAAGGCATCTTTCACTATTCCGATGAGCCTTTAGAATATCTATGTCACATTTTCCGTCCTCTGTTACAGCACTTCTTAAATTGTAAGATTTAAATTTTCATTTGTGTCTTCAAGAAATACCTGTCTCTTTACGATGTCTTCTAGTTTCTGCTTTGTCATCCATTTATACAAGTTCGTTGGGCCGATTGTTCGATGTTTCCTTCTGCTTCTCTTGCGCCCAGTATGTCTTCTAGGTGTCAAATTCTCCAAGCCTTCTTTCCACATTATGTGTCCCAGAAATTTCAAATGTCTCTTTCTGATGGTAAGTAAAAGTGTGACGATAAACTACATTCCAGCAGCAAGTCCTCTGATCGGTAGATTGAAGGTTTTGAGAAGCGTGGAATAACCTCTTAATTATTGTTGTTGTTCCCCCCCCTCCCGACCCAAAACAGAATATTTTATTTGTACTTGAAACCATAAATTTGTGTTCAAAATATTTAAATTTCGGCATTAAATAACCTATAGAGGTCGATACGCTGCTAAACAAAACCAATTAGCCAACATGAAAGGAATATTTCATGACATTGATACATATAATATCCTACTCTTTGTTAAATTAAACTGTACTCCCAAATACAACTTCAACAAAACTGCAACATAAAACACACATATCACCGCTTCTAGTCATCATGTTCATACAAACATATATATGCATAAAAGCTGAGAATCATCTACCATGGATTCAATTGTGAAAGCATAATGACATGATTTTATTACTTCAAAACTTCCAAGAAAATTAAATTTCGACATTAAATGACCCATAAGGATGTTGATATGCCATTAAACAAACAAACAAAACAAAACAAAGTAAAAAATGTCCTTTAATACATTTAATTTCGTACAAATTCACCTGTCATCTACGATGTTCAAAATTTTAAACGCAACACCAATCACTATCTTCTATCTGACTGAATGTTGTTCTGTTATTTTTCTTTTCTCTTCACGAAAGTTTTCCCATTCTTTTTCACACTCAGTAAGTCCTAGTGTCTTAGTGGCATTATCGCCTTCCTTTGGGTGAAATAATTAAAAGAATAATGATAAAGATTGTTCAGACTCTACTGGCATAAATATGGGAGAATGTTTCGAACGTAATCAACACTTTCCGCTTTCGGGTATAATGTTATTACATTTTTATACTTATAAAATCATGAATACTGAATCCAAGAAGTTACTTTCTGTATTAAAAACGATATGCTTATGTATATTTTCTAAAATTTATTTTCATTCATTTTTATTCTCAGATGTTCGGAGTTTTGCCGTATTTTTCAAATTACCGGCTTTTGTCCGAGATCTCCACACCACTCGTAAACCAAAGGTAAGGAAGAATAAAAAAAAAAGATATATGAGGGTGTGCTGAAAAAAGTTTTCGGCTTAACCCAATATCTCAAAATCTGACCAAATAACCAAATATCAAAATTTAGGTGATAACTCTTCATGGACGAGTTAACGACTTTTCAAGCACCCCAACCTTATTAATATATATATATATATATATATATATATATATATATATATATATATATATATATATACAGTGTGTCCATAAAGTTCGTGTGCATTTTAAAAAATTTATAAATTTATTTGTATTTGCGATAGAAATAATTTGTAAAAAGGATTAGAAAAAGTAAATCTATATTTTTTTTAAAAGTTTATTGAAATTTTATTTAAGTTTCCACATGTCCTCCATCATTAGCAATACAAAGGGTAATACGATTTTGCAGTTCACGGAAAACATTTGCCAACTGATTTACAGTACTGCCTGAAATCACATTAGTTATTTTAGCTATACTTAAAACTAGGTAAATTAAACTTTATAACATTTTTTACAGATTATTTCTATCGCAAATACAAATAAAGTTATAAATTTTTAAAGTGCACACGAACTTTATGGACACCCTGTATATATATATATATATATATATATATATATATATATATATATATAATGTGTATTTCGGCAGCAATCATTTTTATATAATTTTCGTTAAAAACGACTAATAACTTACTATGGTTAATATTTTTATTTAATTTTACTTATGCTCATATAATTTTTTTTCTTTTCTGGACATAAAGAATGAAGAAATTGTTCAGATGGTCTGTATGTCCGAGCGTTTTCGGCTATACGTTTAGCCATTATCAAGGATGTTTTTGTTTTTTTATTTTAACTAACTGTTTACAAACATAGATAAAAAAAAATCCATACATTCAGTTAAAAGTAAAAATAAAATCGTCCTTGATAATGGCTAAAACATTTGGACAATTTCTACATACTTTATGCCCAGAAAAGAAAAAAAATATAAGAACCCAAGAAGAATTAAAAAAAGAAACAAAATGCAGTAATTTGTCAGTCTTTTTTAACGAATATATATATATATATATATATATATATATATATATATATATATATATATATATATATTGCGCACTGACGATGACATTTTGAAATTGTCTAAAGTATACTTGGCATGTGTCTTCCATCTGACAACTCGAATATTAGGATCTTATGATTCAAGTAATTGATAGTAAGTTAATGTTGCATTAAGTCTTGTTAGCGAAGTAATTTCGCCATTAATCGCATTAATATTGTTATTTAATTCTTTGTATAAATTGTTTCTTTATAATAAATATATATATATATATATATATATATATATATATATATATATATATATATATATATATATCAAACTTGTTTAAGCATTATTTTAAATAGATACTCATATTTGAATAATGCTCTGTTTTTATTTATTTATTAAACAATATATTAATTTATTTACATGTACAGGTCGAATATTTGTTAGAAAATATGGGCCCTCTGGCAGGATACGAACATGCGTCCCCTAGGCGAAACCGTCATTATATCCGACGTGCCTTAGTCCACTTCAAGGTCGCTAGATATAAATAAATAAATTGTCTAATAAATAAATAAAAACAGAGCATGTACTCAAATACGAGTAATATATAATAAGAAATTTGCCGAATAGTTATATTTAGGTGTAAATGTTTATGCTTAATTAAAAAATAACAAAGAAATTTTGATAAAATCTACCGTTTTCGATTTATCGACAATAGAAGTTTGTACTCATTCGCGTTACGGCAGCCATTACTGGCGTTGTTTGCACATATTTGCTGCGGAACAGTCTTGATTATTGCACACGCAATGAGCCCTCAGTTGCGCAGTAATTTAATCAAGCAAGAACTGTAAAAAGGCCGTTAACAATTTAATCTTCCGCGTAAATCGAATCAGCAGGGAAATGTATGCAAATAACGCCTGTAATGGCTGCCGTGCCGTAACGCGAATGAATCCAAACTTTTATTGTCGATAACTCCTAAACGGTAGATTTTTATCAAAATGTCTGTTATTTTCAACTTAAGCATGTAAATTTACACCTAAATGTAAGTATTCAGCAAATTTTTATTACATATTTAGCGCGGGACTTAAAAAGCAAATTATCCATATATAATTTTTATTTCATTAATGTTCGAGATTGATTATGTGGCCTTGTGGGTGATGAAACTTTCTCCACCCTGCAAACCTTATTCCAATGGCGAACCATTTCTAATCTCTCACTAGTCTATCGTTATTATTATGCCAAATGTTCAAACAAGGTACAATTCTTAGTTGCCCCACCCAAGACAATCATCTGCCATAACTTGTTCACGGTAGCAAATCATCCGCATTTCCTTTATATTCCTTTGTGGAAAAGATTTTCGATAAGATGTTTCATTGATCGCTACAATATTGAATCCTTCAAGTCGTGAGTCACTGAGATATCTGCTCTGCACGTCCTCATAATATGCACTTCCTCTTCTCCCCCTCCTTTACAACACTCTCACTCAGTAACACTATACCTTGAGTGACCTTTGGGCCTTGTATATCATAAACTGCAGTAATAAAAAATAAATAAAAACATATCTATATGTAATGGCCATGGTAATAAGCAGTAATGTATTTTCATGTCTGACATCAATCCTTATTTTAGCTATTTATATTCGGACTATTGTCCTTAGCTTTATTGACAACAGAAATGATGACAATATTTAAAATATAAGTAACGTCCTGGGTAAGACGTTAAACTACACCCGCGTCCTGGGTAAGACGTTAAAGTACGTCCAGCAGCAAGGCCTCTGATCAGGAGGTTTTCAGAAGCGTGGAACCACCTCTTAATTGCTGGTGTTCCCAGGTCCACCCTGACCCGGTGTGGTAGCACCTGTTAGGATCCCAGCTATGGGCAAATAGTTAACTATTACCAGCAATACTTTTTTTGAAAAAATTATTACCAGCCATACAATTTTTAAGGAAATATATTACCAGAAACAGATTTTTGACAAATCACAATATTACCAACAAAAATTTGTCGGCATTAAATAACCCATTGAGATTGATATGCCATAAAGCAAAATAAACCAAACCAAATATAAGTAATGTAAGTAATGATAACTCCTCATTCCAGAAATTCAGACAGAAATCAGTCCTTATATTTGAGTTTTTGAAACACTATGAAGAGGCACGGTGGATAGCGGCTTGGATTGAGGAATCGGAGAGCCGAGTTCGAATTCCAGTCGAATCCATTACATTCACTTACGTGCTAATACCCTTGGGAAAGGCGTGAATCCTCTTCTTCTCCCCATATCTATGGGTAAATAGCAGGACAGACCGGGTTCTATAGATCCTTAGAGAGACTAAATGGAAACCTACTGCAGGATACTCGAAAGATACATGATCGCCTAAGCGTGTATCACGCATAGCACATAACTGACTGATGAGTGATTCGCTCATGCCTCACAATTTCATGCCTGCGAGTAGAATATAGTGAAGAGCACCGGCGATAGGACGTACTGAGTTGGTTTTACTGACAAGGATCTGAAAGTGCCATCTGTTAGTGGTCGCTTCTAGGATTCCCATATCTTCCGTTTTCCAGGTCTCACCCAATGTGTACCAACTTGTCTATATGAACGTATCATAGCGTAGATTAGAGTGTGGCACAAGGCCGAAAGTATGGGTAGCATAAACTCCCTTTTCAGTCGTAACTGATCTGAGCTTGCTAACCATTACACCACGCCGAGGTGTAAATGTGTAGTTTTCTTGTGTGTGTGTGTGTGTGTGTGTGTGTGTGTGTGTGTGTGTGTGTGTCAGTGAGCGGGTTTACCAACATTGGTATATGCCAGAGAAAGTGAACTTTCTAAAAGATAATTGGTAGGTGTCAACGACAGTGTGTAGTGGTTCCATGAATCTTAGGCAGCAACCATTGACTAATATTGGCATGTTTCTGTTGTCCAGCCAATGGTGAGTAAGTCTGTTCTGGGTGCAGACGCACTGGACAGAATAATTAATGTCTGTTTAAGGTTCGTAACTGACTAACATAAACAGACAAATATATACGTTTTATAGATAAGACAGATGTATGGGTGATCGGGTGGATATGCATGTGCGCACTACACACACACACACAAGTATTTTCCTTCTTCTTCTTCTTCTTCTTCTTCTTCTTCTTAGGGCGTTGACGATCGTGGCTCTCCACAACTTCCTATCCTTTGTAGCTCTTAGAAAATTTTGTTTTTTCTTTATTCTTCCCAATCCCTGTTCTGCCAGTAGATAGGTACGCTTATCGTCCGGTTCACACTCCTCCCTGGTCTTTTGGGATTGTTTCTTGTTTATTTTAAGGTTTGGTTTGGTTTATGACATATCGACCTCAATGGGTTATTTAATATCGACAAGATTTTTATTGCTGGAATTTTTTTTTTTTTTCAAAAATATATTGCTGGGAAAATTTTTTCAAAAAAAAGAATTGCTGGTAATAATTTTTTACAAAAATGTATTGCTGGTATTAATACCTATTTTTACATTTTCATAGTGTTTTGACCCCAGAAATGCTAGAAATTTCAATTGTCTCTTTCGGACTCTAAGTATAATCGTCTTTTTTGTTTCCATTTTCCTCAAAGCTGGCATCTCGGCTTCAGTCATCTTCCCATCATTGTGCCATAGCTTACTTCTGTATTTTCTATAAATATTTTCATGGTTATTGTCCTGATAAGTTTTCCTCTTTGGTACCTCGACTTTATGAATTGAAACAAAATGTCCTTAGCAAATGGAAGAATTTAGAAAGCGCTATTGTATTTGTTTTGTTTTAATAAATTCATTTCGTTTTTGCCTTGAAAAAATCCACAATGGACGAAACGCGTCGGCTAATAATGCAGTTTTTTCTACTGTGTTTATAAATATTGTCTTTTTCTATAGGTTAACTCTGAGAGATTTTTCATATATACATATATATATATATATATATATATATATATATATATAATATATATATATATATATATATATATATATCAAAACTAAAATCCATACAAAAAAAAATATAGAAAACTGAATATAGATAGATAGATAGATAGATAGATAGATAGATAGATAGATAGATAGATAATGAAAAAGACTGAAATAGATAGATAGATAGATAGATAGATAGATAGATAGATAGATAGATAGATAGATAGATAATGAAAAAGACTGAAATAGATAGATAGATAGATAGATAGATAGATAGATAGATAGATAGATAGATAGATAGATAGATAGATGAAGTAAATTTTCCGGAGATGAAATGTCAAACGCTAGAATAGCATGTCGCTCATCACCTACATTGGTCCAATGGTAACGCAGAGTCGGGATGCGAGCGGCGGACAGGAAAATCGGTTGTGTTGAATAAGAGAGAACGATAGAATCATGAAAAGAGTGTAATTACAAATAGTCCAGTTGCAGACTTTCTTGTTCGAGGCGCCAGTGCACCACACAGCAAATGAGTCATAGTCTAACTGGTGAGTCAGCGTTTAAAAAAAAGATATTTGAAAAAGAAAGGCACCAAAGAATATGAGAGAGAGAGAGAGAGAAGAAGAAGAAGGATAGAAAGTAAAGGATAAATTGCGAAATCAAGCAAGAATTTCTGTTCTCGAAGACACGTTTCTGAAAATAAAATAAATGATTTGCGTACAGAGCAACAGTTTTATTTGATTTGATTTTTTACGTAGTTATTCTAACTCTGTCGAGAGAAACGATTCCGTTAAAAGAATCACAAAATGAGAAAGATGGACCAGAGAAAGTAACGACTTGAAAATCAAAATATCTATCGATAAATAGTATCTTATTATAATCCTGACTGCGTCTCTCTTCGTTAGTTCGCACGACCGTTACGTCCTGCCGATACATAATAAATAATGGACTATTCAGTTTTGATCGCGAGCAAAGAGTGGAAACGACTCTACTTGGTTTCAGTGAGAAAATGGAAGAAAGAAAGAAGTGGGGGAAAAGAGGATCAGATTAAACTCATAAGAACAGATACTACACTTTAATCTTAGCTAAAAGGCCAAAAACGAAGACGACTGCGATAAAAGAAAACCTAGTTACCAGAAATAATATAACATCGTTCGCTGAATTGTTTTAAAATTATTATTAAGAGAAATGTTTGTAAGACGGGAATTTGGAAGAAAGGAACGAAGGAAGGAACGAACGAACGAACGAACGAAGTGTTATAGTCCCCTGCTAATACCGCATAAATAATGAACTATTCCTTTTTTATTGCGTAGAAAGAGGGGAAAACACTACTTGGTTTCAGTAAGAAAAAGAAAGGCAGAAAGAAAGGCAGACAGAAAGAAGTATTCAACAGCAGTTTCAGTGAAATTGAAAACATTGTCAATTTCAAATCTTTTCATTTGTACCCCCTTACTTCTTAAAATAATGACAGCATTCATATTTATGATTGTTAGTGCAATATTTTGTTAAAGTTGTTAAGCTCAAATATTTAACGATGCGAGGAGGGAGTTTCTACGGATATTTTATTGTCGTAGAACTCGCCATGAGCTTATTTAATCATTAACTGAAGAATTAAGATTCATCAGAAATTTCAATTAGGAAAACCGTGATATTTTCACAATTCTTTCCGGTGTTTCTGAATAAAGAGCTGCTTGCGGAAGGTCAAAAAATGGTATATGTTGACACAAGGTCAAGGAAAACGAAGAGATAAATGCAAAGTTAGGAGAGAAACAACAGAGAAAATCACTAAATACAAAAAACAAAACAAGAACAAAAAAATGTCGAGAAAACGGCAAGCAGAGAAGTCGAGGGAAATGTTCTGTTAACTCAGGCAACACTTATGAAGCAAGCGAGAGAAACAAATGAACAGACCAAGTCATGTACAAGAATTTATGTTGATGTGGTGAATAGTGTGCAAAGGAAAAAAAGGTGAATGAGTGAGAATGATGAAGGGAATATACAAGAAAGTGTCGAAAAAGAAAAAAGGAAGAAAAATTCCTGACGATGCATTCCAAGAAATGAATAATTCCGTGAAGAAAAAGGAATCAAGGAAAGAAAGAACTGTTTTGGGTTTGTTTAGCGGCATATCAGTCTCGATGGATGGGGTGTAATGTAGCTTGTCTCGCTAGATCAATTAAGACTGAATAGTGAGTTCGATTCTCACTGGGTGCTCCATACTTTCGGCCTTGTGCCATATATAAGCTATGCTTAGAAAATCATATTGCGACACCTCGGCGTGGTGTAATGGTTAAGCAAGCTTGTCTCGCTAGATCAATTAAGACTGGATTGTAAGTTCGATCCTCACTGGGTGCCCCACACTTTCGGCCTTGTGCCACATCTAAGCTATGCTTAGAAAATCATTTTGAGACACCTCGGTGTAGTGTAATGGTTAGTAAGCTTGTCTCGCTAGAGCCATTACAACTGGGTAGGGAGTTCAATCCTCCTTGGGTGCTTTCGGGCTTGTGCTCCATCTAAGTTACGTTCAGAAAATCATTTTGGGGCATCTCGAAGTGGCGTAATGTTTAGCAAGCTTGTCTCATTAAAACAGCTACGACTGGAGAGTGAATTCAATCCTCACTGGGTGCTCCACACTTTCGGTCTTGGGCCATATCTAAGCTACCCTTAGAAAATTAGTATCGATCTTGATGGGTTATTTAATGTCAGAGTCTAAATATTTTGTACGCAATTTTATGGCTTCAACTAAATATATTTTTATACTTTTAGACTAGAGTAAAACTATCTTTTTCAGATATTTAGTTTGTAGATGATAAAATATATCGTTGATAATTTTACTATAAAATGTATTTTTATACTTTAGTGCTGTATTGATTATCATTTTCCTATAAAAAAAAATGTCTATTACTATTTGTCATATTTTTGCTAAATATATTGCTGGTATTTTTACCATAATTTATTTTTATACTTTTTTAGTGAACCAACAAACAAAACCAAACGACTATTTTCCTTTTGGGGGTCAACTATTTGCCCATAGATGGGACCCTAACAGGTGCTACAACCTTGGGTCAGGGTGGACCTGAGAACAACAGCAATTAAGAGTTGGTTCCACGCTCAATCTTTTGATCAGTGGCCTTGCTGCCGGATGTAATTTATCGTCATACCCAGGACTAGTAAGAGAGAGAGAGAGAGAAGCGGATTGTGTAGAGAGTAGGAGAGAGAGAGAGAGAGATCGAAAGAAAGTGATTGTTCGTAAATGAAAAATTAGAAAAAGAAGGAAAAGAAAAAGTTAACTTAGTTCTGGCATAAGGCAACAAATAAAGTGCGAGAAAAAGAAAATCGAACTCACAATTTGATGGTATTAGTCGACCAGACTAACGACGCTTACAATTAGTCACATTGAGCATCCAAAAGTTTTGATTGGCACAAGGTTACAATTAGGAGTCATTCACTGAGGATTGAACTCACTACAAATAAACAAAGAGAGAAGTTCTGTGACAATTACCTACTATAAATAATGCTTAGAGTAATTAGAAATAATTTCAGATTAAAAATTCATTTAAAAAATGACTGTTGTTTACGTTTCGATTACGAAACTGATGCTATAGATTCATAAAAATCCCAACGAAAGATGCCAATTCCTTAAATAGGTAATTCAAAACTTGCTTTATTAACATAACCTTCCGTGACTAAAGTGTTATCAGTACGCTTCTAATTCGAACATTCTACCTCGTGGACTAAATAAAGAGTTCGATTCGAAATTTCACCTGAAGAAGGCCGGAGCGTACAACGACCGAAACGTTCGTGAATATGACAATAAATATGAGGACAACAGTCCGAACAATGGAAATAGTGTAAATTTTTATATTAGTAAGAAATATATAATGTCAGATTTTATTATGCAAGTCAATATAATCACGATAAAATTGAATATAAAATATTTTCGGGAAGTACTGATATTTAGATGATAAATACATAACATCTATTCTTATTTTCCTTTTAAATTCATAAGATTTTTCTTGATATTTTTGTTACTTTTTAGTGTTAGGTTTTATAATTAAAAGTGAATCTCCTTTTCTTTTTAGAAATAAATCTAAAAGAAAAACGGTCACAAAATTATCTCATTAACCTGATATCCCTTGAGCCTGAAATCATTATTTTACAAGTTCATATGCGTTCATTTAACTTCGCCAGACTTTCATTCATTAATGTCAACTTTTCTATTGTTTTCAACTTTAACATTACTGACAAAAGTTTTTTTTTTTCATTGCTTGCCAGAGATCTTTGCTTGAATATTTTTCAGTTTCATACATGCATACACCCTTGTGCAAATTAATTGAAATATTTTAGTACAAGCAATAGACAACGTGGGGCCATAAATATTAAACTCTTGTCGATGTTTGACTTAAAACTCCCCAGAAAACATGCTTCAGTGCTACGCAAATATTTATTGATAAAATAAAGAATTAAACGGATAAATTACACCCTTGTGCAAATTAATTGAAACTACTGCTTTTTTCATCATATGGAATGTTTTAGACCCACTGGAATGACAGGGTATAATCGATTTCTATTTTTCCTCAGATTACACCATCTGTAGTGGTGTGCAGTAATATGAATCTGTTTTGGGGTGTGTGATGAAATTTGTTTGGCTTTGAAAAGTATTGCGTCATCCGTGATTGCATCAGATTTTTATCACGCCCAGACACTATTGTCTAGACTGACTATTAGTTGTCCTATGGCCATTGTCTGCGATGGACGTTACTCCAAGGAAGCGTACGAAAATTGTAACGCTGCACGAACACAATGGCGAGCATTACCAGTGAGCAAATCAAAGTAGTTCAGATTGGCCCGGAAACTCTCCTGATTTAAATCCAATCGATAATCTGTTTTCACTCCGTGGAATGGACATACGAAGTACAAACATGGCACTGGGTCAAGTTTCATTGGAAAAATACGACAAAAAGTAAATAATAACGCAATTATTCATTTTGTTTCAATTTAATTTGCACAAGGGGATACATACAATGGTAATTGCCCGATTTTACTGAAATGAGAGCCAACCCCATCAACTTAAACATCGGTGAGAAGCCAGGATAAGATGACAGAAACAATAATACGCTGAGATAACATTGGATTATAGTGACATACGCTCTTAGTCGCCATGATTAATACCCAGATGTCAAGTCAAGGCTTGATAACTAGTATTCACTTCAACTGGATGTTTTCTTCAGTTCTCCCTCTCATCAGATATCATATACATACATGCACATATATACTTGTCATCATACTGCATATTCTAGATGCCCGTTGATCCAACGAGACGATTCATCTGCCCTTTTTCAGGTCTTTTTTCTTTTTCTTTTTTTTTTTAAATGACATCATTATCCTGCTATGAGACTAGCCACTTTCCGAACCGGTTTAATCAGCAATAACCCGATTATGCAGCAGATAGTTATGGGTTCCATATTACCAGCAGCACTCATCAAATGACCTGATATAAATATATGTGATGACTGCGATTTGAATCCGAACAATATTATTACTTGATGCGTCCTCAAATTATGAGTAACGTGGATGAATGATTTTCTTCTCAGTATGTGTGGGCGTCTTTAATGATATTTAGTTCGGTTCGTTTGGTTCGTTTCGTTTTAGGTCATATTAACCTCAATGGGTCATTTAATGCCGACAATTTTTCTTTTCCTGGTAATGTTTTCGTTTTGTCAAAAATCTATTTCTGTTAATATTTTTTTCCTCAAAAATATATAGCTGGTAATATTATTTTTTCAAAAATGTATTGCTGGTAATAGTTTTTTTTTTTTTTTCTTCAATAATTTATTTCTGGTAATAATTTTTTACAAAGCACCTCTGGAATTAAAACCCATTTTTACACTTTTATAATGCTTTTTACCTCAGTTTCGGGGTTAACTGTTTTCCCATAGCTGGGACCCTAACAGGTGCTGCCTCAGCTAATGCAACCTGAGCAGGATCAACGGGTGGGTTATTCTGGAGCAAGAGCACACCTGCCCTTTTCCCTCTGCTTTTCGACTTGATTTCTTCAGTTATCTTGATGCATAGTACTGTCCAGTAACAGAGTTTCCCTTTTCCAGAGAGTCTATCATGCTTACAATTTCAGAATCTAAATAAAACAGAAGCCATCACCTTGCCAACAGACGCTACCTACTTGAACTTCTTTGAGAGTGGAGAACCAGAGTGTTTCCACTCTTTGCTCTGAATCTTTGATTCAGGTTTGAATTGGTGAACCCAGATTTCATGTTGAGTTATTAATCTGCGGTGTACACTCTCAGGGTCAGCCTAAGGACCGTAAAACATTCAAATGTCAACCCTTTTCGACTTTTGCTCTTGTGTCAGCATTTTTGGGATCTAATTAGGCAGATAGCTTGCTCATCCCCAAGATCTCAGTTAAAGCAGTAGGGACCGAACCATAACTTGTGCCTACGGACAGTAAAACGTCTGTCATCCAAAGCCATACGGTGAATAGCACCAACTTATTCATCAGTGGTTAAAGCTTTTGGACGATCTGACCGAGGACATCACCTGTGTTGTCCCTGCACCGCTTGAATTCCGTAGCCTACTTCTTCACAATTGCATAGGAAGGGGAGTCCTCAGCAAGTGTCTGTACCATGCCTTCATGGATTTTCTTTCTTTTGCAGATACTTTACTGCTCGGGCCTCTGTTTTGTCCATTTTTGTCGCACACCCCACACCTTTGTAGGGCCTCAGCTACACAGAAATTAAGACAGAAATCTTAGTTTTTCTAGTTTTATAAGAAGTGGTAGTGTGTTATCACATCAAAAACATTCAGCTACGGCTCTTCTTTGTCGGTGAGGCTTAAATTTTTTTAACAGCCCTCGTACATCAATTATTCACCATAGGGAAATATTTTGTCGTTCATCAGCATTGGCTAATGTTAACCTCCAAGAGAGCAATTCATTGCGCCTTCTTAGTCTCACATTTTCCACTAATATGAAGTGGAATTTTAAATCAACTATCATGTCTACTGCTACAAAAGTTGGTTGACTGTGCCATGCCAAAAGCTTCTTCTCGTCAGAATTCATCTTGCACATATATAAATCCCCCCTTCGTCCGTGCATTAAATATTGCTGCCATA